GGAAGTTCCAGCCTCAAATTGGTATGTTCAAGGATGCCAATGCACAGATAGTAATTAATTCAAAAAATATCAAAGCTGGAAGGAATATACTGAAATCTGTACAGTAGAAATGTCAACATTCAAGATGTGTTCGAAGATATTCCCTACTTACAAGAACCTCTAGTACTAGAATATGAAGTTCGATCAGCACTTTGGTCCCTACTAAGTCAGAAGGCTACAAAATTGATGCAATATCTACTGAACTATGGCAAGCAACAGAAGAGTCAATCCTTAGATCAATACCGAAGAAAGGAGTACAATATCGTTAATTTCACATGCTAGCAAAATAATGCTTAAGATCATCCAATGCAGATTAGAGCTCTACATGGAAAGGGAGATCCCAGATGTTCAAGCTGGCTTTACAAAAGGCCAAGGAATATGAAAGATTATTACTGATGCATGATGGATAATTGAAAAAGTCAAAGAATACCAGAAGAAAAGTAAGTATCAGGAAGCCATAGTACAGACAGAACATGACAAAACAGACTAGCTCCAGGTTGGCAAAGGAGTGAGACAAGGGCATATACTCTCCCCTTATCAGGGCCAGATTAAGGGCAACTGATGCCCTAAGCACAGCCCAACAATTGTGCCCCTTGGCTCTTCCTTTGCTCAACTGATAAGACTTAAGACTCAGTAAGTGCTGAAAACTAAAGTCGAGGGTGGCAGTGAAAGATTAAAGGGCATGATAGCTAGGGGGAATAACTCTGTGGTGCCCCTGTTCCCTAAAGACATGCTTCTTTTGCTTAATGGTTAATCCAGGGCTGCCCCTTCTGCATCTTATATGCAGAATATATATTGAGGGAAGCTGGTTTGGAAGATGAGCATGATTTTAAAATTGGAGGAAGAAACATCAGTAATCTGAGTTGTGCTGATGATACTACTCTGATAGATTTCAAAAAAGCAGGATAGAAAGAATATTGATACTTTTAATCTTTGGTCAAAAGTTGTAGTTGGAGAAGTCTCTTGAGAATTATCCTACTTCAGACACATTATGCAAAGACCTAGCTCTCTGGAGAAGGCTCTAATGCTGGGAAAGGTTCTGTACTTATCTAACATCTCCAGGCTAGGATCAATGCTCAGTAAAATCTTACATCAAGGTCCACATTTAGTTCCCCACTTTCCAACCCATTTTCAGTTACTGCCTGCAAGAAATTGGTTGACATGATTGCCCAACAGAGTTGACCCAGATTGTAGTTATTTGTTGAGAAACTGCGTTTGATTGCTACTAGTTTCAAGAAAGTAAATCTCTCAATGGACTGAAAGAAGGTAAAAATGTAATGCAGCAATAAATGGGAAGAAAGGTTCCACAAAAAATTCCAAATATTTCAGTTTCTATTGACAATAAGGTATTAAACAACTGGCATAGAGAAATAATGATATATGAGCTAACAAAAGGCCAAGGATTAAATTCAAGAACTTGCAAAATTTAAAAGATTGAGATGGCTTAGTGGCCCCAAATTTCAGATTGTCCTCTCATGCCAGTTACCCAACCTGGATATCAGAATGGATGTTATTTCCTTATGGTCCTATCACCTCTATGGAAGAGGCAGAACCTTCACAGGGGCTATATAAATAAATGTGGTTGACATACACAGAAATAAACAATTTTCAATAGGCTATGCATTATTAATGTTGTCGTTAGGTTTAATATAGCCCTCAAATCCAGTAGACTCTGGGCAGTTTACAAAAGAGAATACTAAATTAAAACAATTAGAAACAAACAAAAACAACTTATTGAATGTTTGAAATAATTATAGGAAAAGATAAGCCCAGACCTTTCCCATGTTGCTTCCTTACTGAAGGTCTTCTGTTATGATGAAGAAAGCTCTAAATTTTTTGCTCAGCGAAGCGACAATAATCTGTAAACTGTTTAGATTCCAAGAGTTTAACAGGACAAAATCAAGATCTTTCAAGTCTTTTGCTACGTGGTGCTCTTCCACATTCAGTTGATTCCAATGCTCTCAAAAAAGCAACACAGCCACAAGAGAATTATGGGGAACATGGGGGAAATTTGGCTGAATTTGAAAATCTCATAACTCGTTATACTGAACGTTTATTAAGCACAGTTTATAATGTATTAGTGAAATGCAACTCAGAACCTGAACAAGTCAAATAGCGTGGTGGTAGAGAAAATAAATGTCACAAATAAAATGGAGGCTGCACCCTTTTCCTCCTTGTCTTTTGGACATGACCAGGGTCAACCCCTGCTCCGCTATTTGCCTAATCCTATCAGATCCAAATTGACCCTCCCTGCCCCAGATAAGCCCCCCCCCACCATCCCATCTA